GCTTTTTATTAGTTTTTAGTGCGTTGTATATCTTTTTTTTATACACTTTTGTGCATATTTCAATTTTATCGTACATTACACATCTTTTTTTTTGGGCCCATTTTGTGAATCTTTTCATTTTTGTAATTTTACTTCATTTCTTAATCTTTAAAGACTCAAAGAAAGACCAATCGATGGATAAAAATAAATAGCTTGATTAGAAAATTATGAAGTGGATTCTCAGCTTGCAAAAGATTCCTATGAGATAGAAGGAATGTAGGATGATAAATAAGATTTAATTTCAAAGTCTAATTCTTAAATTGATATAGTTTTTAATCCTTAATTTGCTGTTTTGGAACTGCAGGGGATACAGAAAGAGAGAGGCTTCACTGTATTTGATGGAAGTTGTTAGGGAACATGAGGTGGGTTTTATTGGGTTTATGGAGACTAAGCTTTGCAATATTGATAGAAAAGATGTGGACTATTTTATTGGGAGAGATTGGGATTTTTTTTAACCACACTACTGTGGGCTTGTCTGGTGGTATTCTAATTATGTGGAATAGGAAAAAGGTTTCTTTTGCTATTCAAGAAAGTTCCTCTCAAGATGTTATTAGAGTAATCTCTACTCCTTTGATGGGAGATTGGAAGGTGGCAATAGTTTATGGGAGTAGATGTTCTGTGGAGAGGAGGGATCTTTGGAGTTTACTTGAGAAGAACATGGATGGGTCGGGTCCTTCTTTAGTGGGGGGAGACTTTAATTGTATTCTTAAGAAGGAAGAGAAGAAGGGTGGGAAGAGATTCATCTTCTCTAGGGGGTCTAGAGAGATGAAAAGTTTTATGACTAACTCTGATTTTTATGATGCAGGTTTTATTGGACATACTTTCACTTGGTGTAATAATAAAGATGGTTCCTCAAGGATTTGGGAGAGGCTTGATAGATGCTTGGTGAATTCATCCTCTTTGCAATTGGTTCCTGCTGGTAGAGTAAGACATCTAACTTGTGTGGCATCGGATCATTGTCCGATTGTTTACAAAATGGAAGTTTTGCATTCGACAAAAGAGAAACATTTCAGATTTGAGGACACCTGGAGATCTTATCCAGCTGCAAGAGGTATTGTTTACAATTCTTGGGTGAAGAAAGATTTTGGAAAAGAGGAGGAGATATTTCATAGAAAAATTAGAAGAACTTTGAAGGCCCTATTCTTTTGGAATAGGAAAAAATGTAAAGATCTTTGAAAGCTTAGAGATGAGTTGAAGAAGGACATTCTTGAGTTGCAAGCCAAGGAGATGACTGATGTCGGTTTATCGGTTGATGACTTGTGTCTTCTTAGACACAAGGTTCATGAATTAAACATTACTTTGAAGAGACTTGCAACACGGTGGAATCAAAGAGCTAAAACTAGGTGGATTGAGGAAGGAGATATGAATTCTGCATTTTTTCATAGCTATGCATCTGCTAAGAGGAGTGCTAACTTGATTAAGCACATTAAGAACTGCAATAATAGGTTAATTGATGAGGAAGAACAAATTGAGCATATTTTTCTGCAATTTTTTGAAGAGAAGTGAAAGCATAGGAATTGCCTTTTATCAGGTTGGCCGGAGATTGAAGATTCACAGAGACATAGTGAACTGGATAAGAAGATGCTAAACACTGAATTTGTAATGGAAGAGTGCAGGGTGGCTGTATTCCAGCAGGGGAATATCAAGTCTCCAGGAGCTGATGGTGTCACTTCTTCCTTCTTCAAGAGCTATTGGAGCATTGTTGGAGAAACAACTTGGTTGGCTATCAAGAAGTTTTTTAGCTCTGGTATTATGCATAAAAACTGGAAAGACACATTGATTGTGTTAATTCACAAGGTGAATAATCCGATTGTCCCTTCAAACTTTCGTCCTATTAGTCTTTGTCGAACTACATACAAGATTGTTGCCTCTATACTTGTGAATAGACTTAAGAACCTTATGCATAAATTGATTTCTGAGGAGCAGCTAGCTTTCACTCCAGGGAGATCGATGTCTGAGCATTGCATTCTTGCTCAAGAGATCTTTCATAAGTTTAAAACCTCTAGAAATAAGAAGGGATTAATGGCTGTTAAGCTTGACATGGCGTAGGCTTATGACAGCATGGCGTGGAGTACATTGCAGCAGATTCTTGGATGGTATGGATTTCCATTGGCCTTTTCTAGTTTGGTTATGGAGTGTGTGTTGAATGTGAGGTTTTCCATTATCCTGAATGGGAAGAAGCTCAAATGGATTGAAGTCTACAGTGGATTTCGTCAAGGCTGTCCATTGTCACCGTACTTGTTCATTATGTGTGCACAACTCCTTTCTAATTCTTTGGTGCAAAGGGGTCATAGTTTGGGCATTCAGGTAGCTCCTAAGGGACCGAGAATTACTCATTTACTCTATGCAGACGATGTTCTTATCTTCTCTCAAGCAAATTGTAAACTGGCTAGACATATGATGGAAATCATTGAGGATTTTTGCAAGTGGACGAGTTTGAAGGTGAATGCTAACAAGTCTCAAATTTTATTTGGGAAAGCCATTGAAAGAGCTAGGAGGAAGAGGCTTACCATAATTCTTGGTTTCTAGTCTGTAAATGAATGGAAGTATTTGGGTATCAAGATGTCTCTTAAAAAACTAAAAGTGGCTGATTTTCAAGACCTTTTGGCTCAGGTTTTGGAGAGATTAAATGTTTGGGGAAAGAAAAACTTATCTTTGGGAGGGAGAATTGTGCTCTTGAAATCCTCTTTACTAACTTTACCAAATTTTTTCATTACTCATTCAGTGGTTCCTAGAAAAGTGCTACAGGATATTGAGAAGTTATGCAGAAATTTTGTTTGGCACAATTCTAATGGGGAAAGAGGATTACACTATGTTGCTTAGGAAGAATTGTGTAAGCCAAGAAGTGCTAGTGGTCTTGGTTTACAATCTTGTATCATTAAGAGTGGCACGTTGAAAGCTAGACTTGCTTTAAATTACATTCAAAATCACGATTCTCTGCTGCATCGTTCTCTTAATGCCAAATATTCAGATAATATTTTGGATGGTACATATAAGCACAACTTTTCTAATGCTTGGAAGATTATGGTTGAAGGAGGAAAGTATCTTAAGGATATTGTTAAATGGAGAGTGGGTAATGGAAAGGATATTGATATTCTTGCCGACATCTGGATTCTTGACAGAAGCTTCAATTCTTGGCCTACTTTTATTAACTGTGTTGATTTAGAAGGTAAGAAAGTGCAGCAGCTATTAACAAATGATGAAAGGTGGGATGATGTGAAATTGAGATTGTTTTTTCATGAGGATTTGGCTTGGATAATCAAGCAAGTTAATGTGGACAGAGACGGTGGAAGGGATATGCTGGAATCATGTAAGAAGCTATCGGGTTGTTCTGTTTCAGCTTTGGCTTTTGAAGCTGCAATGAGCAAGAGATACAATTCTGAGGATGATGGTTTTTATGATTGGCTAAGGAAGCTTAAACTCAACGTTAAGGTTGAGTTGTTTTGGTGGAGTCTAAGTAAGTTTGCAATCCCCTCTAATTCTTTCCTTAAATTCAGAAGATTGGCTACTAGTGATTCTTGTGTTAGAGATTGCTGTGAGGCTAAAAATTATGAGCAAATTATGGTTCGATGCAAATTTCTCACTGAGATTATTTCCAAAATCAAAGAGTGGGGATTTGCTGTAAACATTCTTCAAACTCTTGATGAATGCTTAACGGAACTTAGAAGGTAGTCTAACAGAAATCTTGGAATTGTTAGATTGTATTGCACCACGGTTTTTTTAAATTGGAAGAACCGTAATCTTGTCTAGCATGGGAAATCTGCAATGTCTACTGCTATGACTGCTGTAAATGTTATTTCTTTTGTTACTTCTAATCTTCATCCTTTTCTAGATAGCTGGGGTGCTAACCTCTCTTGGGAGTATTTGAATTCTTGGCACCCTCCACCGCTAGATTGGATCAAGGTTAATGTTGACTCTTCACTTGTTTCTAATTAACGGGTTGGTATTGGTGGCTTCTTCAGAGATTGCAAAGGAAGAGTTCTCGTTGCTTTTGGAAAAAATTATTTGCATTGGGACATTACTCAATTGGAGATGGAATCTATTCTTTCTCTTCGGGATTTCATTCAAGGATGGATGCTTGAGAGTGTTGGTATCATCATTGAAAGTGACAACATCAATGTGATTAACTACATTCAACAATCTATGAAGAAGACTGATTGGCACTTGGAGGAAAGCTTGAACAATAAGCTTTTCTTTCTTAATGACTTTAATAAGATTGTTTTTCACCATGTTAGTAGGAATTGTAACAAAGTAGCTGATTTTTGTGCTACTTTGGCATTGAATGGCAATTTCTTGTTTGATAGTTCTTCTTTTGGTAGTTTACCGTCCACCTTGATGGATTTAATCAAGAAGGATGGCTACCTTTTTATCAATTGTAAGTAGTTTCTTTTGATTCATTTTCAATGCAAATTTGCAAATTTCAAAAAAAAATCACCAATTACTTAAAATTTTTAGGTAAAAAGGATGTAAAATTTTCATTAAAAAATTGTGAGAAGTGATTTGATTCTCTTATGAAAATACAATGTGAAAAGTGATTATTGTGTCTTAATTAGAGATAAATCACAAAAATATAAATGAAAAATAAAATAAAATGGTTACAAATAAAAAAAATCAAAAATAGCACAGAAAATAATTATAATGAACAAAAATGTTGACCTAATTATTCGAGGTCAATTTTTGTGGATTCAATATCTAGTACCTAAGTCTTTGAAGCTTAGTATATATATCATTCCTATAAAACTTTTCTTGGGCAGATATCCACTGACGTGGCATTGACTCAACCTCCTAACTCGACCTAAATCACCACTAACTCAGATAAAGTTGACTCAGTGCAAATTTAATTTAACAAATGATGGCTTTGATTAAATCCAAAATTAAACTTGTCTCAAACCTATTAGAATCAAATCAATATTAATTAGGGAAAATTGATTAAATTGAGCCTATTAAAGATAATAGCTGAAGGTCCCAACCAGCCTCCTCTCTATTCTCAAGATGGCCGAAGGCCCTAGCGTTCCTCCTTTCTATTTGTAAGTAGGGACAAACCCCTTTCCCTCTCCATTCGCACCTCCTCAACTATGGACATTGCTCTAGCCACCGCCAACCCTAGCTGTTTCCTGCCCTGGTCCATCTACCTCTCTCACACAAAAAATTTGAGCCAGTAACCCCATCAATACCTCAATCCCATTGGATCAAAGTAGGTGTTTGGTCTTGCTCATGCGATCTATATTTAGGCTAACGAGTATTCGACTGGAATCTACATATGCCCCACTCAATCAATTCTTCTTTCACATGCAGGTATTAAAAATTCCTATCCTCCTTGTGAATTTAATCCCTATTTTAAGTATTTTGAGATGGAACCTTGGGATTCTTTAGTTTTTGGGTGAAGCAAAGAACTAGAGAGAGAAGCTCCTGGGTGATTTTCTAGAGAGAGAAAGCTCATTTTTAAATTTTTTTCTTTTCACGGGTTCTCTGGGAACGGCAAAATTGACAACAGCTACTCGTCAGATGGATGATCGTTGGCCTTCTCCCACCGAGATCATGGCCTCCATTCGTCCATTTGGTACCAATCGTATGTTTGGTAAGAATAATAACAATCTTGTGATCAAAGGGGGCACAAGACCTCCAGTTCGTCAAGAAGTGGTGGTTGAAGGCAAAGGCAAGAGGGTGTCAACTGATCGTGCTGTGAGAGGTGCCAAAGATCCCGTAAAGGTGAACGTTAATACAGGAAGCTATAATACAGAGGCGTCTTCATCTATTGGCTTAGTTTTGAAGGTAAAAAGGTTTGTGAGAAATCTTGATGAAAATGATGGTCGTAATATTGCATCTGAAATCTATGCTTTGGGAAGTCAAGAAGAAATTGAAGGCAGAAATCTTGCGAAGAATCATGAGCTTGATGCAAAGCATGACAACATCAATGACGAGGGTATTCATAGAAATGGTATGAAGGAGGAATTTATTAAAGCATGGAAGAAACCTCAACATATCAAGATTTTATTTAACAGTGATCTAGCAAAAATGTCGGATGATGGGATTACAGTCAAATTAAATGCTGAGTGGGAAGTTATGAATGCACAAGTTCTGAAATACTCACTGGTTATCAAGGTTTTGGGAGACAAAATAACTTTTCCTATGTGTAGCTTGGAGTTGAGGAGGCAGTGGAATAAATTTGGTAGCTTTCACATGATTTCGCTTGGTATAAACTGGATATTATGTTAGTTAAAGTCTGAAGAAGCTATGGATGAAGTTTTGAATGGTGGCCCTTGGTATGTGTGAGGACACATTGTTGACATGGATAAATAGTCCCCCTTATTCAATCCCAACTACTTCAAAGGTATAACTGTACCTATTTGGATTCATCTCCCTTGTTTGCCATTATACTGTTGGGATGAAGAGAATATTATGAGAATTGCATAGTGTATAGGAGTACCAATGTATGTAGATTGGAATTCTTTTCAATGGGGAAAATGAGAATTTGCTCGGGTATGTGTGAGATTAAATTTAGAAAACAGTCTTCCGAATGGCATCTGGGTAGATGGAGTAGCAGGAAGATTCTTCCAGATAGTAGAATATGAGAAAATTGATTTGCTATGTTATCACTATGGCAAAGTGGGACATGATAAAAAGGTTTGTTCTGATGTTGTGGTGCATGCTGATAGCGACTAGATAGTGAAGAAATAAGTAATACAAAGCGATCTGGTAGTACTAGCTGTAGGCAAAGCTTCTGGGTAATATGGATCGTTAATTCACATGCAGTTTAAAAATAGAAGGTTTAGAAATGGAAGGTTTGTTGGGGGCGAGAAGCCTAGAAGAAATGTAAAGGAGGTGAAAGATAAGAGGACTGAAGTCCATGCTGATGCTGTGCAGAATGCGGTTCAACACAAGGTGGCTGAAGTGGTTATAGAGGTGGTGTAAATTGATCAACCTACATTGAATATAGGCAGAAGTTCTGGTAAATGGGAAGCTAACAAGGAGCTTGAGATGGATATTGATGTAGCTAATAAATTTGATGCTCTGAGTGAAGATATCGAAGAAGGGGAATTTATGAGTCATCCCACGGTGGAGCAGTTCTAGGGTAGTGTTGATGCTGAGAAGATTCTTGATAAAATGGAGGGTGCTTCTACTCATAGTAGCTGCTTGGTCAAATTTAAATTGGCCAAGGAACTAAAGTTGTTGGGGCCTTTAGAACCTGAGCATAGAAAAAAAAAAAGAAGGGGTGGTAAGGGAAATGTATTAGGTGGGGTTGGTTCCCTATGGTTCATTAATGTCTTCCTTTGTCTTCTGGAATTGTAGGGGGGCCAGGAAGAAGGAGGTTTCTCTGTACCTTAAGGAGATTGTTAGGGATCATGATGTTTTTTTTATTGCAATGATGGAGACTAAGCTAACAAGTGTTGATAGAATTATTGGAAGGGATTGGGATTTCTTCCACCATCCAGCTGTGGGAACTTCTGGTGGAATTTTGGTCGTATGGAACAGGAAGGTGGCCTCTTTTGTGGTGATGGAGACCTCTTCTCAAGTGGTGGTTGGAGTTCTTTCTACACCATCTATGGGAGATCAGAAGGTGGCCACTGTGTATGGGAGTAGATCTTGTAATGACAAAAGGAGTCTTTGGAGCATGCTAGAGAAAAGTAAGGTTGGTACGGGTCCTTCCATTGTGGGGGGGAGGGGGGGACTTTAATTGCATTCTGAAAAAGGGGGAGAAGAAAGGTGGAAAGAGGTTCCTATTCTCTAGAGGTCCTAGAGAGATGAGGGATTTTATGACTAACTCTGATTTCCATGATGTAGGTTTTGTTGGACCAAGTTTCACTTGGTGTAACAATAAAGAATGAGCTTCAAGGATATGGGAAAGGCTTGATAGATGCTTGCTAAATTCTGCATCTTTATATTTGGTTCCTTCAGAGAAGGTGAGGCATCTTGCAAGGGTGGCATCAAATCATAGTACAATTGTATTTAAATTGGAAGCTAAACAGTCTAAAAAGACAAAGATTAGCATATTTGAAGACACTTGGAGATCATACCCGGCTACTTGGAATATTGTATATAATTCCTGGAAAAAATCTGATTTTAGTGATGAGGTGGAGGTGCTTCATAGAAAGCTTTGAAGAACGTTGAGAGCTTTATTCTTCTGGAATAAAAATAAATGCAAGGACTTGTGTAAGTTGAAGGAGGACTTGAAGAGGGATATCTTGGAACTACAGAGTAAGGAAGCCATGGTTGAAGCTTTTTTGTTGGAAGTTTTGCTTCTGCTTAGGAGCAAGGTACATGAACTTAATGTCACACTAAGAAGGCTTTCTACTTGGTGGAATCAAAGGGCTAAGGCAAGATGGAAAGAGGAGGGGGATACTAACTCTATGTTTTTTCATAATTTTGTATCCGCTAGGAGGAATGCAAAGTGTGTGAGACAAATCAAAGGTATGAATAACCAATTGTTGGTGGAAGATGATCAGATTTAGCAGGTGTTTTTACAGTTCTTTGAGGAGAAATGGAAATACAAAGAATGCAATTGTCTGAATGGCTTGTAATTTCTGATATACAGAGATTGGATGCTTCAGATATGAATGCTTTGGCTGTTAAATTTTCCTTGGAAGAATGTAAGGAGTCGGTATTCCAGCAAGGCAATAACAAGTCACCTAGCTTAGATGCGGTGACATCTTTCTTTTATAAATGCTATCAAAAAGTTCTTTAATTCTAGAGTTATGCATATTGAATGGAAAGATACTTTAATCGTATTAATCCCCAAAGTGAAGAACTCGATCTTGCCTTCAAATTATAGGCCTATAAGCCTTTGTCAAACTATTTATAAGATTATTGCAACTATGTTGGTTAATAGACTAAAAAAATATATGCCTAAGATGATTTCGGAGGAACAATTGGCTTTCATTCATGGTAGATCAATGTTAGAACATTGTATATTGGCTCAGAAGATTTTTAACAAGTTTAAAATCTCTAAAAATAAAAAAAGTATGATGGATGTAAAGCTTGACATGGAGCAGGCTTACGATAGCATGGGATGGCCAGTTATACATCAAATTCTTAAACGGTATGGTTTCCCCACTATTTTTTCTGATTTCCTCATAGAGTGTGTGGTAAATGCAAGGTTTTCAATTATTATGAGTGGGAAGATCGAGATGGATCAATGCTCATAGTGGATTCGGGAAGGGGTTTCCACATTCTTCATATTTGTTCATTATGTGCTCCCAACTTATTTCCAATGCAATTGAGCAAAGGGGATAATAGTTGGGTATTCAAGTTTCTCCTAGAGGACCTAGGATTACACACCTTCTATATGCATATGATGTGCTAATATTTTCACAAGAAACCACTACTTTGGCAAGAATATTGAAGAGTATTATAAAGGAGTTCTGTGAGTGGACAGGTCAAAGAGTTAACATCAACAAGTCTCAAATTATTTTTGGTAAGGTTGTTAGGATATCTCATATGAAAATAAAGTGCAAGCAAAAATAAAAACCAGTAAGGGAAAAATCACACCACAGATTTTATAGTGGTTCGGTCGTGGTACGAAGGTTTATAAATAGGCCAAAAATTCTGAATATAATTGTCCTGTATGACATAATCTTGTAATGTATGATATGTTAAATCCTTACGTTAATTAAATTTAGGGTTACTTAAAGGAAGAAAGAAATTAGATATTAAAAATCAATATTATGTACTCAAATATTAAAAATATGAAAAATATGAAAAACAAAAGAAAAGAAGAAAACATAAAGAAAAATGAGTACTACAAAAATCTGTATTGGATAAAGCTTAATTACTTAAAGTATTCTAATACTTCAGTCAAATAGAGAATGTAAATAAAATAATACATATAAAAGTTTACTAATGAACTTCTAATTTAACTACATGCACAAATAATTTTGAAATGATATATTATTCATATATAAAATCAGTAGTCAATATTGTAGTTACACTAATAGTGAATACGTTTAATTCAAGCAATAACTCTAATGATTGATTAGGATAATTACTTATGATTATTCAAATTAAAATTAACTAACTTTAATTCAAGCAATATCTAAATTTTCATGCATTTTGGTAATTATAAATTTGTTATTTTTATTATTGTTGGTAATCTAATCAATAGGTGATTACACCTTTCGTTGAGGTTAAGTAAGAGTTTAAGCTAGGGATAATTTATTAAGTATAAATTTTTTAGTATTTTACTATCTTAAATATCGGTAAAAATATTATTTTTACTTGTTGTTCATGAATGTCTTAGGAAATACTAAAATTTCATAAGTATTTTACCACAGTCACAACGCTTCAAACATAAGCACCACAGTATTATCATTCACAACACCTCAGTACAATGATCAAACATTGTAGCAATGTTGCCTTTAGAATTTTTAAGAAGTGATCAATTGAAAGATTCTTTAAGATATAAAATTTTTACTAGGATCATTTAATTTAGGGCTTCAAGTCTCTTGAAGTGATTAATTGATAAGATTCACTAAAAATTAAATGATTAAAACACCTAAATAAAATAAATGACTCTATGTAATAGATTTGATCCCATTGGAGAGGCCAAATGCATTATAAATATGAGCCTATGACATATTGTTCAATTTCTCCTTGCACTTGGGAGTTATTGAGAGATATGTTATTTAAATCATAAAATAAAGATTTCTAACACTTAAAAAAAATTCCTTAAGAAAACCAATTGTTAAGAAAACTAACATTTAAATTTACATAAATTCCATTAAACTAAATCAAAATAAAAATAAAAATATTATATAACATTAAATAATAAACATATCCAAGCCACACTGCTTGTTGCACACACCTTAGATTATTTTTAAGGCTACTTATTCTAACTTAGGTTTGGTAGGGGGTGTGGTTTAATGTGATATAGATACCTTACTTTTGGGGTGTCTTATTTTTTATTATTTACTTTCTAATGTTCTGGATGTCATAATTATATTTCTTATTAGGCATTTTCTGTGATGCCTCATAATCTAATTTGAAAAAATATTCTTTTAACTTTTATTATATGATTGCGAGAGTTATCTAAATTCCTTTATCAATATAAATACAATAAACAAAAAAAACTATTAATGAAAACATCAATATAACATTTTTATTCATTTTTACAAAATTTATATATACTACTTAAGATCTATATAATCATATCATTACTACTAAGTCATAGTTTAATAATAATAATAATAATAATAATAAGAATCTTAACCCAAAAAATCCTTGTTAATCTCTCAGAAATCATTGAAAGCTATAAAATTAATAAGCTGGAATAAGTGTCATATCACTAAAGCAGTCATTATATCAGTATTATCAATTAGCATAGAAATCATATAAAGTTATAAAACCAAAACACCTATAAAGAATGTCAAAATTTTATCAATGTAGTAAAATTATATAAGAGTTTACATATATTATCCAGTTAGTTTATTTCATCATCAAACTAGTATTTTTTGTGTTCAACATATCATATTCTTATTATAGTAAAGTGAATTAGTAACATCTGTTGAGTCTAGTAATTAGGTTATTAAGCCTAAATTAATGTCCCAAGGCAATTAAGAGGGGGGGGGGGGG